AACAATTCAATGAATGCAGAGTTACTCTTGAAAAGAAATTGTTGGAACTTTTTCACGGGCAAATTTAGCAGCTCGGTTTTTCAACAGACACGATTAAGTGTGCCATGATTTTGTTAACAATGAAACGAGTTTACCGCCTGCGTTGACAATAATGATAACAAAAACCCGAAGAGGTGGGGAAATATTCCCTGCTGAAAGGAGTGAGTGCAAACAAATTGAATCAAATCATGGTTCTTGTGATGTGGTTAAATGCAATCCAGGCTTCCTACATGTATAATGCCCTGGTTGTTAAAGGAATTTATTCATCAAGCGCAGGATATAATCTAAAATTGATGGTAAATATTTTACATGGACTGGCATTTGTTAAATTTTACTGTATTTGTTAATTGGCTCGTTTCACGGCTTGTACACCTAAATAATTACCTATGTTCCCTTGTATGAAACATTTCTGAAAAACTGACTTATTATCTTATTTCAACGCAAATTAAAGTGAAGAATTGCAAAGAAATTATTCGAGAACCTTCATCTTGTTTTTTAAAATGCTACGCGTTGACTTCAAATCTGAATTTCCTATGAATAAAAGCTAATGAAATGCTATAAAATCAAAATGAGTACCTTCTGCTTGTATCTTCATATCTTGATGACGCGTGTCTTAGTGTCTATTATTTGCCTAAATGTCGCCATTATTTCTTCATCTTCACCTAAATGATGTCTGTATTACTCTTATTATGGACTTCAGTGACTCCAGCAGTCACATTCCTACATAACACCGCATACTAGATACTGTAGTGGACGCCTAAGTTAAAATTTAATTAAACCGGGTCCACATCTAGAGGGCAATAAATCACAGCCGCTTGTGAGTGCGACAACTCCTGATAAAATTGGTTTATCTTGGTACTTTGGGAAGGTGGAGGACACTTGGTGGTTAATAAAAACATTGTAGAGAGAGAGAGAGAGAGAGAGAGAGAGAGAGCGATTGAATGAAATATCGCGCGCGTGTGTGTGTGTAAGTGCGTGTGTGTGTGTGTGTGTGAGAGAGAGAGAGAGAGAGAGAGAGAGAGAGGCAGAGGGAGGGAAATTGAATGACATCAGTCTAAGCCACAACCTTTAAAATGTGTGTGGAGAGAAAGAGAGAGAGAGAGAGAGATGTTTATATTTTCAATTTCCTGACTTCTCTTTGACATATAACTGGTCTTCTAATTTCTCTACCCCAAATCCCTGCTCTAATTTTGCAAATTTAGAACTTTGATTACTGGCACATTGACGCCTGCCGGAGGGGGGGGGGGGGTTGGCACAGTAAGCACGTGCGCCCCCTGCTCCTTCGGAGTTATCCTTCTCCCGACACCCCCCCCCACAAGTGTAAGGGGATTACATTCATTGTACCGCTTTACAAATATTATTTCTTGTCCCCAACCCCCCCCCCCCCCCCCCCCACCTCCATCCCTAGAGTATTATTGTAACTTTTGTAGACATCTAGCACCGTAAAGTCGGATCGTTTGACAGCACCAAAATACATACACGACTAGAAACTACGGTGATTGATTACGTTTAATATCACATAATTCAAAGATGAAATTATGTAGATGTGGACACCACGTGCTTTGTTGTTGACGTAATATTCTACGTGACGTCATTCGTTNACCACCACCACCACCACCGCACCACCACCACCACCACCACCCCACCCCACCACCACCGCCACCAGTTAAATCCGGAATCCACCAGTTTGGCTGTAATTATCATTATTCAACATTAACTATGACTTTCGGACATGAGACTTAAAACTTTTGTTGTGACTGTACTTGGTCGCCCCGGTCAATGTTCTAAAAGTTAAAGGCTTTGTACTAGACTTAATAAAGCGGCGCAATTTAGCAGAATATACAGGGCTAATAGAGTTCGTGATCACGAAAATGATTTTTTTCGAAATAGAAAAGAAATAATTAAAGTTTCCAAAGTTTCACCTGCGCTGACCGATGGCACGACATTTAACGTGGTGATAGGGTGCTTGATACCAACTTGTTACATGATTTTTTCCTAAATTAGCTATACCATTTCGACATTCTTAGTACTCTTAAACCAATTTTACGTTTAAAAATCCACTAAAATCAAACAATGAAATTATGCTTTGTCAGAATTAATAAAAAGGAAATTATATCGAAATAATTTTGGCTCTTCGATTTAATGTGGTAAACATGAACGACCGGGCTTCAAGGAATAGGGGCGCATATTTTGTGACAAGAGATTTTATTTCAGATAATCATGACCAGATATGGATATTATACATCATGTTAAATATGCAGTGTGAACTGTAACAGACGCTCATAATGGCCACAGATAGATGCCAGTAAAATAATTCGGAAAACGTGCTTGGACACGGTGCTTTGAATGAATGAATAAAACGGGGCTGGTTTTGCACATTAAGAGGAAAAATGAAAAAAAAATCAGTAAGTAGAGCTAGCCGTTCTGTGGAGTAAATCGGGTGACTAACACATACCCCTATGCCTGTAACGCATTACAGGTAGAGAAAAAAAAGAAAACAGGCTTATGTCACTGTGGTAAGGTTAGAGAGCTGAACAGGAACAACGGGGATCGCATTCGAGCTGAAATAACAATACAAAAACAAATTTACGTTCAGGAATAGTAAACACCTCTCTGTCAGTCTGTTTAATGTCTTTGATGGATGTGACCGATATTATGGCAGAGACGCTGCTTTGGCGAAATCGGGACGAGTTTAGAAGGGGGCTATTTGTTTGACGTCATCTGTTTGTCGTTTCACAGAGGCAGTAGCAATTCTAGGGGTATAAACGTTCAGTATGCATCTCATATTCTCCATCTGTTTAATACTCCCATGTGGCCTCGTGGTGGATTGGCGATTCTCTGATAAGCACAGTCAATTAATCTCGATTTATGAAATTGATTGTTGTATTATGTTTGCCAGTTTTGTAAAAAATATGTTAAATCTAATCGGCTCACTCTTGCTTCTGCAAGAGAGAGAGAGAGAGGGGGAGAGAGAAAGAGTTCCTCGATATGAACATGCAATTTACTCTAACTGTCCTATTGTGGAAAAACGCCGTATATATTAACCAGTGTTTTATGCAGTGTAGCTTTATCATGCTCATATATGTGGGCATATTCTTTTATCACAGGGCCACTGTTAAGTTGCATGAAGTACTTTTATCTCATAATAGGGTGGAGCTCTTTACATGAACATATCTCTATACATTATTGGAATCCATGTAGGTTGTTTATGTTAACCTATTGAGCATTAGAAATCGGGCTAGGCCCACTAAGACAGAAATTTTCTGTCTTTTTTTCTACCTGGTTCGAACATTTATTTGAAGAAAAATGTCACTACGTTATTACTTTAGTTAAGCTAGGATTTAAAGACATTTTTTTCTAATCCACATGAACGTCGAAATTAAAAGCGTAAGGTTATTAATCATGCAAACAAAGTGCAACTTGATTACTGCTGAATCAACGAACTCGTGGTACTAATTTTCATTTTTTCTCTCCATGTCAGGGGAATTATCCGTAACAATTGCAATCGAGAAAATGATACCCGCGAGGTGAACAAACACATAGAGCACGACTCAGGTTTTGAAAAATTGCCAAAACGATACAAAAAATGATATGCGAACAAAATTATTCAGTATATTATCTGATTGTGATTTATATGTGACTTCCGTATACGGATATTTACCTGATTATAACGCACGACTCTCTGTAGATATAGTCTGATGGTTGTGGGCCTGTTTTTCAGCTGGCAGGGCGTCACACCTTAAGGGCAAAGGGTATCAGCTGTTAAAAAAACATACCTGAAGCGCTACTCATTGAAGCGCCAGGTTGCTGTAAGCTGTGGATGTCCGTGTTTTAGCTACATGGGTGAATCTCACCACACACCTAATGGCCAACATCCAACTTTTTTGGAGACAGGCATTTAATTTTTTATGTCTTTAGATTTTGGAAACAATATGACGTTTATTAAATCTCTTTGAATTTTCTTCAGTTGCATCAATTTTGGATGTTTTATTCATATTTAAATTCTCTCTCTCTCTCTCTCTCTCACACACACACACACACACACACACACACACACACACACACACTTTGTCTTCATTTTTAACGAGCTGTGGCAATATTTCTTTCTTTATAAAAGGCCACTGCAAATAGCATGTGCATTCCGTATCGTCTCCGAATACACGTTTACATAGTGGTACCAACTACACCCACTGAATGCTGTGGTACGAACTTCAGGTCAGTCGGAATCAACATTTAATATCGGTGCTATGCCATTTTCAAGTTTGGTCAACCAAGGAGACAAAAAGAACCCCTTTTTCAGAAATAGCCCCCCCCCCCCCACACACACACACATACACATACACACAAAAAAGAGACTTTGAAATTACCGGCTTATATGTAGGTTGATAAATTATTAACGGACACAGCCCAAGACTTCCCTATTGGCTTGTGCCACAGGAATCCACGCACCTGATACAGATGTCAACCAAGTGACAAAATGCGACCAAAACGACACATTGCCCAAAGCATCACATTAACTGACCCCCGCCATTTCAATTAATGTCACTTAAATATCGCACCTTAACATAACGCCTACCTTTGGCAAGCGGCATTTAGCATATCATGGGAACATATTCACCATAGACTATGATAAAAGATGGGTAAACATTGGTGGGTCCTGATACACTTTTCGCCATATTCAAACGCACAATGTTCTAAAGATGTGATAATCTACAATGTACCATACTAATTAATAAGTATAACAGCAACATGGGAAAATGCTGTCCGAAGTCCATTAAGAAATTATAACAATGTGACTCTGTAGGTCTTTCTATATCTAAAAAATCTCATGTACAAATCAGGAATATATTTTATACTGTCTGATGATTATATATACAATGAATGACATGTACATTGTACCCTGATCATATTAGTTATATGCGGGGAATCAGGCTACTTTGTTGGTGTCTGTTGTCACTTACCTCTCAGTTCAGCATGTTGATCCTCCTCTGTATTGTAGGTAATTCCTCTTGCCTATTTAATTCAATAATTTTCCACTGTGACTTGACCCTGAAAGTGTCTTTTACAACAGTCGTTTGTCTAGAAGTTGAATCAAAGAACGACGCGCTATAATCCTCGGTAACGTACTCGGTAGCAGACGATCTTTCTTCCTCTCTACTATCGTCCTAGTCTCAGTGTGTGTTGGAATTTAACTTTTCCCCTTTGAAATAATTCAACTTTCTATTTAACTTAATAATGGATTAAGAGCACTTCGGTACTCCTGGATTACAAAATCACACCTTGGGTAAACTGTTGAGGTACTAATTGGTCCGAATCCATGAGTTTATCCCTCCAGGACAAAACAATCCACCTTGTTTTAGACTCTGTACTCTCAAACTGAGTTACACCAAGTCGAACGGTATCTCCGCACCAAATGGAAGTGACGTCAATTTTAAAGTGAGGAATTACAATAGCAGAGTCACCAAAATTGGGTCTTATCGCCTCCGTGGGTAAACTCCATTAATGGGTCTGTGGTGACAGGTGACACGTGAGTGTTTCAGGTACCACCGCGCTCTGTCAGGCTTAATTCTTAATCCTTTTGGTTTAATAAACGCACGGGATTACTATTAATCAAATTTGAAACTTGGAACTGTTTTCTCTAACGCTCAAACGCGTCGCGAGAGTTTCCCTCGCTCCCTTTTTTATCAGAGAACTACCTATTTACTTGTATACAGTGGCAACCTAGCCCGCTTAATCATACTACCTGTTCTAATCCGGCACATCTGACCTCTCAACCGGGGGTCAGGGCGCTATACCCGCACATTAGATGACAGTGTAGCGCGTGACGCGGTCTCTTTACGACTTCATATGATGGTGTACAAATATAGTCAATAGATGTGCATATATGCCATGGACTAAAATGATAGTGGAAATGAAATAAAGAAAAAAATTGAAATAATTTGTGACCTGGATCCGGAGCGGCGTGGGGGTATGAGTATAATAATTCTTTGCAGGCAAAGAGAAGGGGTGACATTAATAGTTTGACGAAGAAATAAAAACCAGAAAGAGAGAGAGAGAGAGAGACTTACATGAAAGTGGATACTACATTAAGCAATACTCTGCTGTCTCTTAAATTCTTTTAAACAATAAACATCTACTCGTAGCATCGCACGCACGTTCATCTCAGCGACCAATGGCATGCTCTAATCGCAGACTCATCAGTAATATAAACCATTTTGCCAGACAATGCTTGTCTTTCCAACAATAAAAAAGGTCAAGTTACTCAGATGCCGAGAGTGAACGAGTGTATGCACTATCACGATTTTTCTATTACGTACATGTAATGTTTTTTCTCTTGACTAATGGAGAGTATTAAAATTCACTGTGATGTTAATAATAGGTTTGGATGATGTGTAGGGATAGTGACAGACATTAGCTAAAATATAATTGAAAATTTAATTCCGTATTGTAGAGTCGATCAACAATGGGTGCGATGTTATCATGGCTTTGGTGCAATAATATTTATTCACACGGAGAAGAAAGAAACGTGTTTATGCAATGTGTAATATGTACGCAAGAAGAAAGAAAGATGTTTACCTAATGAGCAATAGGTACGGTATGTTTTGTAAAAGATCGAGGATACCCGGAAGTGGATGAGAGCCTCATCCCACCTTCACCCTACCCTCCGTGTCCCCTGAATCCGCCTAGCCAATAATCAGGCCACGTTGCTACAAGTAGGCCTACATATTTTAAAACATGAGAACTATTTTTCCAAAAATAAATAATGCGAAGTTGCAGACGTATGCAAAAAAATAGTTCAGAAAAAGAACATTCAAATTACAGTGTAAACTTTCACTTGCGGATGCGTTAAAGAACAGCTAAAGATATTCTAATTTTTCATTCACCCTGTACAATTCGTGGTCAGTGAAATCTCGTGTTCAATGACGGTGAAACACAACGCTACACTCAATGGTTCATTGTTGGTTTTCTTCCTTAAAATCCATAAATTATATGATCACTTTTTTAAAAAGACAGAGTTGGGTCTACAACACGTCTATTTCCAGTCAAGATGCAGTTCGAGTATGTGTTTTCTTTTATCTACTTATGTTTTATTTTCCTCGTTATTTAAAGCCGTTACAGCCCATAGAAGAGAAACGTCCGGAATGAACTCTTGTATTTGGCGTCGATTATAACCTCATCAATCTACCCTTATCTTAAAAGATTTAATTTTTCTAAAGAGAAACATGCAGAAAACCTTCAAAGCGACTATCTTAAACCCACGCAGCTTTAAATTAACGCGATTTCTATGAAATTAGTTATAATTTAAGCATAAACCCGATATTGACGAATTGGCTTAAATGAAAGAGTGACTCAGCAACAGATTATGTAAGCTTTGCTGTTTAGGCCTCCAGTTATCGAATTAAGCCAACATTATGTTCAAATTTGTAAATGGGAGGCCCAAGTTGGAGACAGATTTTTTCAAGCGCGTTTTTCTCCACTCCTCCGCAATTTGACCTTCCTGATTGATTTGTTCATGTCGGCAATGGATTTGAATTCATCTTTCCGCATTTTCATCCGTCACTTTTGTAAATATACAGTATGTAACAGATTTGAAGAAAACAAAATTAATCTTGATAACTGTACCTAAGGATATAGTCTTTGAATAGCGAAAATGTATTCGGAGATTTAATAATGCAGTGGATAAAAAGAGCAAAAAACTTAAACTGTAATAATATGCTTGAAACAAACCCTCAAACAAAGAGTAAAAGAAACCTTAGAAACATAACAAAACCGATAAAAAGGCACTGAATGGTCGAACAACGAGAATGTGGGTATGAAAAATAGGTGTAAGTTATTCGTAGAGCGAGGGGGTTGAAAAAAGTCTAGAATATGCAGGTTGGGTTGCTTAATGAATGCGATAGATGTGCACTAATAACACAATCGTTGTAAAAAGAAAGGGGAACTGGGTATGTTAAACAGGAGTTTTTTTTTTCTCAAACAACTTTCTTATAGCTTAACAGTAAATAAACCGCTTCTTGTAAAACTACTTGTAGGTCTATAAATAGTTTTCGATCATTTCGACATTTTCGAATGGGGAATTTTGAAGTATATATACCTTATCCTTTCAATAATTACTTTTGACAAAGTTTCACAATTTTTGGAAAAGAAGTTCTGGAGAACCTGGGCATTGATCCCATTACATCTCACATGCTAAGCAAGCGTTCTACCATTTGAGCTAGATCCCCTTCTTGCCCGCAAACATTCCTCTAATGTATTTGTTCATCTCTAAAGTGGTTCCTCAATGCATATAGATTAACATTTACATGGTGTTCAAGTCATATTGTGATTGTTAATTATCACACACATATACAGCGTAGAGATACACATTTTCACAATATTCATCAAATATCTACATTTTGTTTTTTTTTTTGGTTTTGTTTTTATGTAATTGAGAACCTTACTATATACAACGTTTCCCTCGGAAATTCCAGCAGATAAAAGTTCTAAACAAAATGTTTGATTCTTTCAAGTTTTTTCACCAAATGATTCAAGTTTTAAATGGCGCTTATCTTCTTCCTCATTACAAAA